ATATATATATGGCTATGGGTTCGAATAGAGGTACTTTACTTTAGAAGCCACTGTCAATTTTGAACTTTACAATCTTTCAAATCTCTTTTTTAAGGAAGCATGTGTTCCATGGAGAATATCATCCCAGCTCACCACTACCATTTGCATCTACTTGATCACCACTTGAAAATATTCACCGTTTCACTCACAATCTTGCTGACTGGCCCATTTTGTGTGTGTTTGCAAATTAAAATATACAATAACATAGCTGTCAGTTCTGCCAAAATATGTAATATGCTATTTGATGTAATGTTTCAATCTTTTTCAGTTTTTCCAAAACAACACAGTGCTGACMTTGTGTTTCACTTGCTGGGTTCCTGAAAAGTCCATTTGCAGGGCAGTATTTGTGCTTACAAGGTACAAGTAACTGCTCATTCCTGTGTCACAATATTGATGATAGAGCGCAGAGGTCTCTTATGTGTCACATTCTTCGTAAACTCTCTAAGGGAATGGGGAAGCTCATAGCTTCTGGTCTAATTATACAACCATGTCAAAAGTGCATGAAGTACACAGAAAGCATATTTATAGCTCCACTGTAGTTGCACCAGGCTGTTATACATTTGTTTTTTTTTTATAATTACAGAATGTGCACGTGTGACTTTGGAGTGTGACAGCCAACCTAGAAATGTCACGATGCACTTTGAGTCTCAAAGAGAAGGCATCGAATCCGAAGCTACCAGTAGCAAAATCATCAAGGGAACAAATCTGTGCCTCTCACATTGTGCCGRGCCGCTTCACATCTGTGCATTCAAACCAGCATCCTACTGTATTTTGTAATTACAGTAACATGTTAATTATTAACATCAACAGTTGGTGTATGCTTAAAAAAAATTATCTAACTTGGTCAGGACACAACTGTTTTCTCTCCTAACTGTATGAAACATAAATTATTGCACTATTTCTTCCATRAATGGTAATCAGTATTTGTTTGACTGTGTTTAAAATTATCATATTTATCTTCATTAAAAATCAGAGAAGCCCTCACACCATGGGTGCTGTGGTGTWTTTTGGACTGATCAGAACCAGTTTTGAAGATGTGGAGGAGAACATTATTTAATGTGATGTTGGGATCTTTTGAAGTGTATTTTTGTGAAATGGTTGCAAACAATTAATATTTTATTTGAATTTGATGGCTTTTTGAACAGCCTGCATTTGGAGAAATAGTTTATTTTCAATTAGATTACCAAGCTAATGGCATCCAAGAGGCGGGCCGAGACCAATGTAACTTGTCCAAAAACAAGTCCAACCATAAAAATGTCAACATAGTTCACGTGAATGTTATTTTTCAAACTTTTACACTTTAAAGTATTTTTTGTTGAACACAGCACATACAGTAGAATAGAATAGACTAGACTAGAATAGAATAGAATAGACTAGACTAGAATAGAATAGAATAGAATAGAATAGAAACAGCCTTTTTTGTCCTGTGCGGGGATATTCAGGTGTAGCAGCAGCAGCAGATACATACATCAATCAAAGATTGATTGATTGATTGATTGATTGATTGATTGATTGATTGATTGATTGATTGATTGATTGATGCCTTTATTGTCTTTTTTTGCCTTTATTGTTATTGTCATTGTCATTGTATGGAGCAAAATGAAATTACATTTAAGAATTTTGAGCAGAAAATGTTATTTCTCTACCATATTATGTGGAAATGASATTGTGTAAATATTTAGTATTTGCATGGATTACTCTAATTTTTTAAGGATCCTTCAAGATAGTAGTTTTTAGCCCCTATTTGGACAAGATGTTAGGTTAATTCTGTATGGGTTTCTTATCTCTTTCTCTAGTTATCTGATAAGATGTAATTTGTTCATTTCACAAAACCCTCTTTAAATGAATCAAACTATCCTTTTTAAAAAGGACAAATCTGATTAAAAAGCAAAAACTGATCTACAAAAAGGATCTCATTATTGGATGATTCATCTTTTACTCTGGTGGTTTTATGTCATGCAGTATTAACAGGTAATGAGTACTCAACTAAACTGTTTTAATGGGAGCCAAATTGACACATATTTTGCYTTGTTTTATCCATCTTTTCCCCCATTTTCAACCTTGTRTAAAGATGAAAAGGAAACACTTGCATGAAATAAATAGCACATTTTTTTTTATTTTAAGCAACAAATCTGTTGAATATGAATGGTATTTACTGCGCAGTGTCAGGGAGGTAATCATTCACCAAGTCCTCCAGTCCTCCTACTAGTTATGTCTCAGCAACTGACAACACGCATCAATCTGTCACAACCCACAAACATATAATTCTGAGAAAAATATTTGTTGACAGCAGAAGATGTGTAGGTTTACATCAAACGCACCATAGTGGTTTCAGTTTTAGCCTGATAAGACTTTGTAATCAAATTCTGTTAATTCTTTACAGTGCATTTGAATGTAAATTAAATACATGCATGAAAGAAGGAAAGTGACTGGCTGTGTCTTCTGATACCCAAAAGGGGGCCAAAGGTGCTGGAGCAAAACTTATCATTTGGTCTGGAGATAATAATAATGTTAATCGTTAATGATTTAGTGCATGTGGGTATGCATGTCCTACAAGTACGATTTAATTAAGTATAAATTAGGTAAAGCAAGATGACACGTGGTGAATAAAGAGCTGCACGCTCACAAATGTATGAAGAAAGAAATGTGCTTAAAGTATGGTTTTCAAAAAGCAATCAAAATATCATATTATCAGTTTTTCTTCACATTTTGTAAAATAAATATTTGAACTGCATTTCTTTTTTAAAAAAGTTTAATTTAGAAACAAATGTGGCTTCATGTGCAACACAAGGATAACATCTTGTTTGACGTATAATGCTTAAATACTGTATTTCAAACCATTATGCATAACTCTTAATTTATGTTGCAAAGTCATCACTTATCAGTC